GGCGGAGGGAGTAAAAAGAAGCCCGAGGACAGTAGAGCGCCCTAAGGGAAAGAGTTCTAGCTGGTACCGAGAAGCGGGGGACCCCAGTCCTTCAGCTTCAGCGTGTGTCCGGGTCTCCACAGGGGTCTACTGCCCCCTCCTGCCCTCCGTGGCCACTGTCTTTGGTATGGAGAAGAGTCCAGCCTGGTGGGTGCCGGGCGTGTGGAGGGACCAATGAGAGGCAGATCCGCTCAGGGGGTGCAGGGAGAGCGCTGGCTGGGGCTACACCCCTGCTCCCCCTTTCCCCTGCCAGAACTTGGGCTTGTCCTCTTTGACGTGCCCGCGGAAAGGGGCGGGAGGGGGTGCTGACCCGGGGATCGGTCCCGAGACCGAACTCCCTGCTGCCCGGGCCCTGCCGGGTCGCTGCCGGGCTCAGCGGAGTTGCCCCAGGAGACCAGGATGGAGGTAGGAGCGCTCTAGGGCTCCAGAGGGGCCAAGTATCCAAAAGGATACCTGGGGTGGGTACAGAGTACAGCCTGGAGTCCCAAACGAGGGGTCTGGAGATGAGACTGCAGTTCCTGCAGAGAGAGGGGCGCGTCCGTCCTGGGTTTGGTGGGGGTCTGGCGCAGCGCCTCGGGCCCCTCTGCCCCGGCCTGGGCAGCGCCTCCTGCTGGCAGGGCCCGCCCCTGCGGACCAACAGACGGGACCCGGGGGAGGGCACCGCCACCTGGAGGGTGAGGGAGTCCAGGGGACGCTGCAGCCGGTCCAGAGGAGCCACCTCGCCTCCGCTTTTCGCCTTCGTGGGCTCAGTCCCGGGACGCCAGCACCCAGGGGAGAGGAGTGACAGACTCCCCGGGCCGGGCCATCTCCAACTGGATCCCGCAGAAGCCTCGGGGTGTGGACGTGGGACGGGGGGTGGACGTGGCTTCCCCGGCTCCCAGAGGGCGAGCCTTGACGCAGAGGCTAGCAAGCTGTACACGAGCGCTCTTCTTCGGTCCGTTCCCCCGCGAGGTCGGTCCGAGCCGCCGCTGGGACCGCCGCGCTCCGCTTCCTCGGATGCTGGAGGCTGGGCGGTGGCGCGCGGAGCTGGGGCCGCGGGCAGGGAACCTTCTGCCCGAAGCGCGGGAGTCAGGCGGCCCTTGAGCTACTCCCGCCCTTCTGCCTGTGACGGCGGGAGCTCCGGAGCCCCTTTTCTGGGGAGGGGGCCCTGGGAGAAACGGAGGAGGAGGGGGCAGAGACGGGAGGCGCGCTCTGCGAATGGAAGGACAGTGGGAGGAACCCTGATAAACAGACCAGGGACCGTAAAGAGGAAGAAGAGATGGAAATGGAGAGAGCAGACTGAAAGGCGACGGGAGAGGGCGAGAGTGACAAGGGAAGGCGTGAAAGGGAGAGGGAGGGAGGCAGGGAGGGAAGAAGGAAAGGGGGAGGGAATCCAGAGAGAGGAAGGGAGCAGGCGGTGGAGCCTGGAGGGCGTGGGGCGAGGCCAGACGTGCAGGCGGGAGCCCGTGTGCAGAGCCACGGCCGGGTCCTGCTCCCGCCTCGGAGCCTGTGGGCTCGGGGGAGGAGGCGAGACCACTAGGTTGGTCTATGTCTTTTTCTGATTCCAGTGCAACCTTCCTGCTGAATGAGGTAAAGGCGGGGGTCCCTCCGCAGTGGGTGGGGGGAGAGCCCCACTCCAAGCTAGGAAGTGGGCTCGAATTCGGGAGAGACTGCAGTGATGGGGAGGGAGACCTAGGTGGGGCTAAGGGTGGAAGAGGGCTCAGCCAGACTCCCCGGGTCCTCTCCCTGTGTTCCCTGGGAACAGCTAAAATGCTAGGGGTTTGGGCTTTGGGTTAATCCAGCTCTTAAACGTTGCTGAGGAGGAGGACTTCCCTGAGGTCCTAGCTCCTGCCTCAGTTTCCCCACTCAGTGCCCAGGGATTGGGATCTGTCCAGCTTCCTGGTACATTTACAGGAGCAGCTAGTTATCCTGGAGGCTCCCAAGAACTCCAACTCCCAAACCTGGTTCGGGCTGCTCACCCCTATATCCTGCTTCCATATCTTGGGTGCCTGCCAACTGCCAGACTAACAGCTCTCTCCTTAGAAAGAACAGGGCAGGAGGAGCCTCTCCTCAAATCCTTTTTTTTTTTTTTTTTTTTTTTACCCTCAACTCTCTCCCCTTATGCTCACAGAAAAGCAAAGGGGTTGGGGCAGTGACAGGCATGTGTCTTACAGGACGGACAGTCACTGGGTTGGCAGGAGAAGTGGACTAGGCAGGTGTGGGTGAGGAGAGAAATGGGGGGGGGGGGACATTGGGTTGCAATTCAGAAATAAGGGAAAGAGAGAGAGGCTCTGAAGCTCCTGAAAGACCCAGGGGATGGGCCCAGGTATGAAGAACTTGAACCTGTCTCCTGAGGTTGGTTGTCATGGCAACTCAGGCTGCTGAAGCACACTTAGACACCACTGTCCCAACAGAGGATGAAGACAACAAGGTGTGTGAGGAAGGCATGAGGCTGATGGTAGATCCACTGTTACCTACAGTATCCAGGACCCCCTGGCAGTGGGGAGGGTTCCAAAAGGAGAGGACTGGGGAATAGATTCAGGGACTAGGAGGGAAGCAGATGCCTCAGCAGGTGTCTTTTTTTTTTAATTTTTTTTAGATTTTATTTATTTATCTTTAGAGGGGAAGGAGAGAGGGAGAGAAACATCAGTGTATGGTTGCCTCTAGTGCATCCCCTGCAGGGAACTGGCCTGCAGGGAACCTGCCTGCAACCCAGGCATGTGCCCTGGCTGGGAATCAAACCGTGATTCTCTGGTTCACAGGCCCATGCTCAATCCACTGAGCTACACCAGCCAGGGCTTTTTTTTAAAAGATTTTATTTATTTATTTTTAGAGAGAGGGAAAGGGAGGGAGAAAAAGAGGGAGAGAAACATGGACCAGTTGCCCCTCTCGTGTGCATCTGACCAGGGGCCGAACCCACAACCCGGGCATGTGCTCCAGCCAGGAACCCACCAGTGACTCTTCCCTTGGGGAGATGACGCCCAAGCAACTGAGCCACACCGGTCAGGGCAGCAGCTGTCTTACTAGCGCTATCGCCCAGCACCTAGAGGGTCATATTCTTCCACGCCTCATGCTTTCTTTCTGCCCTCGGGAAGAACAGGAGGCACTGATAAGGCAGAGAATAAAAAGAGGATATAGGAACGCTGAGGAACTAGGAGAGGGCACGAAAGTGGGAAGAGGGTCTGGGAACTTCCGGTACAGAATTCAATATAAAAACAACCCCCTGTGGTGTTGGACTCAGGAGAGGGAACTGTGAAAGCCGACCACCGCCCCTAGTAATGATCAGTCCCCTGGGCCATAGAGGATCTGACCAAATCCAGCAGGAGGAAGAGGTTGGGCAGGGCTGGACTACACCACTCACAGAGCTAGACAGGCTAAAGGCAGGCTTAAGATGGTCATAGGATGAGGCTCTTTCTTTTTCTTGCCAAGGGAACGTGAACAAGTGGCTGCTGTAAGTGGAAGCCAGTTGGTTTGGGTGGTCTTTCTCTGTCATGCACAGCGCTTTTCTCCCATAGATCTCATCAGACCCTTTCAGAGCTTTGGTTTTCTAATTCCCCTGTAGCCCTGGAAGGCTGATTGATTCCCCCTCCTCGGGGTGAGAAACGGGGTGTGGAGAAAGACTGTAACCCTCCAGGTACAATCCTCTGTCCCTGTCACATCGCCCTCTGGGGGTGAGGGGTGGGGGTGGAGGGGCAGGATGGCGATCGAAATTCAAAGGAATGTTTTCGCTGAGGAGATGGGGAAAAAAGGAGGGGACCCCAACGGGTGGATCTTTGGGGTAGCTTGCTCAAAATAAAGGCTGCTGTTTGGTTTCTAATCTCAAATCTCAATGCTCCTTTGAAGGAGACGGACTAGGGCAGTGTGGTACCTGCGGTTCCAACCGGGGTACCAGCCGCCCACCCGCCCCCGCCCCCGCATCCTTTTGCTAAGGAGGGAATCTGGCCTTAAAGCTGCCGGCGCTGGGGAGACTTGCCCGTCCCCCTACTAACCCCAGTGTGGCTGGACTGCCACCTTCTATCCCAGCCACAACAATCCCCCTACCTCCACCCTCTGGTTTCTCTCCCGTCGCTTTAGGCTCTCCTAAGACAGCCCCTCCTGTCCCAGTTCCCACGGATACCTTGGCAATGCCCGCCTGGCACAGCCCTTGGCAAGGAAGTGAGGAGGGGAAGCCCCATCCCGGCCAGACTAGGATGAAATCTGCCTGCGCAACAGGTGTGGGGCAGGCGGACCCAAAACCTGCCCCTACGCGCGGGGAGGGCGGCTCCGCCCTTTGTTGGGGGGGGGGGTCTCACCCCTGAGAGGGCCGATCACCTGGTAGAAGCAGGGGCTACTTCCACGGCATTGGCCTGTAGTCGCCAATCCCATTCCTCCTCTGCACCAATGCGGGGTTCGCTTTCGGAGTCTCCGGGACCCCCAGGGCGCAGACGCGCCGCGCGCGCACCTGAGACGCCTCCGCCGCCCGCCCCCGCCCCGCCCCGTCTGTCTCCCCATTTTCCAGTCTTCCCCGCTCCGCCTCTATTCTTCTTTCTCTCTTTCCAGCCTCCCCGTAACCCGCGCGCGCGTTCGCAGCCCGGGTCTCGTCTCCGCCGCGGCTCCCCGCCGCGCCCCGCCCCCGCCCCGGCCCTTTGTTTCCCGGCGGAGTATTTCCTGGGTTGCCGAGCGTCCCTGTCTCCGCATCTCCCCTCGCCCCGCCTCCTCCCGGCCCGGGTCCGCCCGCCCGCAGTCTCTCCTCCCCTTCCTCCCGCCGCACCTCCGGCCCCGCGGCGCCGGGGGAACCCACCTTCCACGCAGCCCGGGTCCGCCACCCTCTCCCGGCCGGGTCCCGGGCTCCCCCGGTGGCCGCCGCCCCCGCCAGCTGCCGGCGGGGGGTGGGGGTCAGGTGGGCGGGCACCATTGTTTTAGGAGCCGGCGCCAGATTCTCCAGCCGCGCTCGGGGTGGGACCGGCAGGGTTTGGGGGGTGGGGTGGGGGGGGAGCGGTGATTTGAGCTCGGAGCAGCTGGTCTTCCCGCTGGCTCCCTCCTTCGCGCTCTCTCGCTCTGCGCCGCCGTCCGCAGGGCCGCAGGGCTCAGTGCATCTCCCGGGCGCGGCCCGCAGTCCTCGCCCCTGCCTCTGGGCCACTCCCGCCCCCCGGCGCCGCTCGCTTCCCCCCGCCCGGACTCCCCATGTATGACGACTCCTACGTGCCCGGGTTTGAGGACTCGGAGGCGGTGAGTGCCCGCTGTGATGGTGGGGGTGGGGAAGTTGGGGTGACACCGCCTCTCCTTTGGACCCTACTCCCAGTTCAGTACTTTGGAAAGACGCCTCAGCGTCGGGGCAGGAAGCGTAGGGGTGGGGGGCGCTCCAGGAAAGTAGGAAGATGGATTTTCGTGCCAAGGGCTACTCTGTCCCGCCGTCCTAGACCAAGAGACATCGGTTGTGTGCAGGGCGCGCTGGGTGCGGGGAAGGGCTGAGCAGGTGTCTCCAAAGCCCAGGGCAGAAGGGTAGAGGCAGGGAGGGCTGGAGGCTGAGGGCACAAGGGCTTTAGAAAGAGCTCACTCAGTGCCTGGAGTTCCCACAGGAGCGTTTATGGGGTCTGAACACAACAGCTCCAGGGAAGCTGGGTCTCTTGGGTCCCAGGGGGACCCAAGTAAAGGATAAATTTAAGGAGCCTGGGAGAACAGAGAGTCAGGTACCAGCCTCTTCAAACAGAAAGATCACAAAACTTGAAGATCTCCATTATTCCCTTCTGCTGTCCATCCTGAGCTTGCCTGATATCTCATCCCCCAGCCCAGCTTCTCTCCAAGGCTGGAAGCTGGACGCCCAGCACATGGGTGGGCCAGCTGTCTGAGCCCCATCTAGTCCATGTCTCCCACTGAGGTGTCCTCAGAGCAGCGGGCATCCTGAGCGCCTGCTCAGCATGGAGGACCTGGAGGTGAAGCCAGAGGAGCTGGGCCTGGGAATGGAGAGGAAGCTCTTTGCTCAGACAACCAGGCAACCGATAAATATTTAATTCTCCTCTTTGCTTTTATCTGCTGACCCACTGAGACAAATCAGCTCATTAGGCAGTGATTCCCGGAGCTCAGAGAGCAGGGAGAGTGCCTGGAAAGAGGGGGCAAGGATGGGGAGCAGCTTCTCTCATGCATCCTGCAAGAAGGCCTCCGCAGGAGAGAACCACTAAGTGGTTGGAAGGGGTCCCTGATAGGTGTGAAAGGGAGAGCCCTCCAGGGTCCAAAATGGAGTGATGCAGTCTTCTCCCACCTCTTGCTGCCAAGCCCGGGATGGATGAGTTCTAGGGTTCTGAATAGGCAGCTACCAGTCCTTTTCTGGGACTAGGCTCCTGCTGGGCCAAATTCCTCATTAGGCCTCTGGGACTAATTACATGGCAGCAAGAGCAGACGATTTTCAAGGCTCTGGTGGACATCTCTCTCTGACAGTTGAAGGGACAGCTGGCATGGCCCAGGGTGCCAAAGTGATCTTGAGAACAAACCTTCCTGCAGGGCTGGAGGTCCCTAGGAGGTTCTTCCTGTCCCTGGTGGGAAGGCAAGAGCTGCTGCAAGATAAAGGCTGACATAGAGATGGCTTTGGGGGCAGTCTGTTAACCCATCACATGCTCCCCAGCCCTCTCTGGTGCCTGGGTCACCCTCCCCCACTTTGCTTTCTCTTGCCTGGCTCCTTGCTCTGTCTGAGGCCCCCTCTGAAGCAGTAGGAGGGAGATCAGGCTCTAAATAAATCCACCGGCTCATCTCCCTCCTCTCCTTCCCCCGTGCCAGGCAAGAGTGGAGCTGCATCCTGCCCACACACTCACCAAGCAAGGGGGGCACCACTAGGGCACTGTGCCAACTCCTGGCAGCTCCAAAGTATTGAGCCTTTGGCTGTCTTGGTATAACAGGGTAGGGGAGGCAAGACCCCAGATTAGGCTTGGGGAGGGCATCCTGCTCCCCCCCAAGCGATACCAGAGCGTGAAAGACAGGTGAGCCCTGAGGACTTGGGAGTAACGGAGAGGGGGCTCCATTCTGAGCCCGACTCATTAACCATTTAGGGAGAGATCCCGTCATTCCCTTCCTAGGGCAGGAGGCCAGGTAACCCAGCGAGGGATATTAAGATGACTGAATTAGGCTGAGACCCTGGAGAGCAGAAAGTAAAGGCTGGACTCCTCTCCCGGCAGAGGTCCAGGCAGCTAGGAGGCATCTGATGGGCACTTATCAAGGCGAATGGTCATCCCACCTCACCTGCTGCCTCCCAGTCTGCTGGCCCTAGCCCCTGCACCCAGCCGCCTCCCGCGGAGGTATAATCTGTCCCTGAGCCCCTGGGAGGAGGCCCCCCACTCTACAGACAGTGCAAAGGTTCTTCCTGGGGCTCAGCCGTTCTTCTACTGCCAAGCCGGCCTTATGTGTTCTCAAGAGAGACAGGAAAGAACATGAGATGCTACTCCTCTGTAAAACAAAAAACCTTCCCGCCGTGGTGTCTTCATGCCTCCCGTCTTCTTCAGATACAACTTTAGCCCAGGCTCTAAGGCCTGGGATGACATCATGCTGACCAGCCCTCTTGCCCCTGGTGGGGCTAGGGCTGGGGCAGAGGGCATGGTGGGTGTGTGAGTCTGTTGTCCCCACGAAGAGTCTGGCCTCTGCTTCCTTCTGTAGGTGGTCATGCACTGTGGGCTTGTGGGAGTCTTCCTCGGTCCGAGAACATCCTAAAACCCCTTCCGCAGACATGCATACAACACACTCGCTCCCACGTGGGCTCGTGTCCGCCGTATCTCCGCCACCTGCACCTCCGAACTGACAGAAGTACCACTCAGGCCTCTGTTCATAAACAGGGGAAACTGAGGCAGAAAACAAAAAATTTCCCTTTCCCTCAACTGAGAGGGACCTCAGCCATCCTGACTTCTGTCCTCCTGTCCTAAGGCCCAACTTTCCTTGTTCATTTGGGCATCTTCCTGAAGACAGGGAAGGTGATCTTCATGGCCCTCCAAATTCACCCTCACTGCCCAGAGACCCCCACTCTGGGGAGGACACAGACACTCTCCCGGCCCCGGTTACAAAGATCCCCTCCTTAGGACCCCAGGGTCCTGCTCCTCCAGTGCTGGGTTGCCTGGCATTGACATTGCCTTCCTCCAGAGCTGATATTCCCCTGGAGAAGGGGCAGGAGAGGTAAGCCAGGTGGTGGGTGTGGCCCAGCCTTACAGGCCCATGGAAATAGCTTTGTGTTGCCTTCAGTCTGTGTCTTTTTGCTGCCCACACCTGGCAAGTTGCCCCAGCGCTGTGAGAGGACAGTGGAGTGGGGAGTAGAGAGGAGTAACTTCCAGGAGTCGGCAGGTCTGTGTCCTCTTCATCCTGGAGCGGTGGGGACTGGGAGATGAGATCTAAGGGGGTGCATGGCTGTATCCTGACCCTCAGGACCAGTGCCGTGCCCAAGGGCAGCTCTCGCCCATTCCCAACCGGCTGCACATCTGCCAGGCATTTTAAAGGGGTAATGTCTAGGCCCCTTTGCAGGCTGATGTGAACTAGAGGGCTAGGTCACCTGCATTCACAGTCCTCTTCAAGTACCTCTCCCTTCCCTCTGCCTCAGAGGAGGACGTGGCAGAGGGGAGAGAAGGGAGGGAGGGGGGAAGCCAAGGCTCTATTCAGAGCTGCAATATTAATAGGCTTGGGAGGAGGGGGGCTCAGATCTTAGCACACGTGGATTGGATGGCATTCCTACAGCCCCAGAGGCACTGGGGCCCTTCTCAGGGAAAGCGGGGGGACTGTGGGGGTCCAGCCACCCCTGTAGACAGGGAGAGCCTGGGGTCTATGGCGGCACTGCTGTAGGGTTGGGACAGTGCCGCTACACTTCCCGCCTCCAGGGTTCGGCCGACTCCTACACCAGCCGCCCATCTCTGGACTCAGACGTCTCCCTGGAGGAGGACCGGGAGAGTGCCCGGCGAGAAGTGGAGAGCCAGGCTCAGCAGCAGCTGGAGAGGGCCAAGGTATCCTCTTGCTTGTGGGCTGGGGGCAGAACAGGCCAGGCCAGGCGGAAACCTGTGCTCTGTCCCGAGTCTCTGGAGGACGATGGGCAGGATGTACGTGAGAGTGAAAGGCTGTGTGTGTGTGATGGGTGGGCGATGGGCAGTGAAACTGGAAGGGGTGCTCTGAGGCTCCCCTCACTAGCGCTGATGGCCAAATTCTCCAGCACAAACCTGTGGCATTTGCTGTGAGGACCAATGTCAGCTACTGTGGCGTCCTGGATGAGGAGTGCCCAGTCCAGGGCTCTGGAGTCAACTTTGAGGCCAAAGATTTTCTGCACATTAAAGAGGTGACCAACATTCCCCCACACACAGAGAAGCCATTTAATTTCCCTTCTCTTTCCCCAGTTCCCACGCCTCTTAGTTCAGTCCTCAGTCTATAAACGAGTCCCCAAACTCCTCAGCTCTTGTCCCCAGCACACACCTGTACACCCCTCGTGTCCAAAACCCAGTCCTTGGGATCTCCCCCCTCTGAGACCTGGCTTAGGCCCCAGTCTCCATATGTGTAAAGTGAGCAGTAGATTAGCTGCCTCTCAGGGCCCCTGTGACAGCTGTGGTGCCTCACAGGAAATCTTGGGGGTGGCTCAAACCTGGCTGCCCTTCCCTCTGGTCCCTGCCCTTGCCCCCTCCCCTTGTGCTGCTTTTGTCAGCCCGCTCTGTGCCTGCCTCCCTGGCCCTTTTCACACTGGAGAGCCTGGACAGAGGCCTGGGCCACCTCCACTCACTGCCCCTTCCTGCTCCTCCCCACCCCCAGAAGTACAGCAATGATTGGTGGATCGGTCGGCTAGTGAAAGAGGGCGGGGACATCGCCTTCATCCCCAGCCCCCAGCGCCTGGAGAGCATCCGAGTCAAGCAGGAGCAGAAGGCCAGGTGAGAGCGGGGCTGTGACTCAATGAACATCCCCCCCAACTTGGGCACTTCACCCACAATTCACTTTACTACTCATGCACACGTGTCCCACCCCGCAAATACACTTATACCAGCTACACACGTTTACACTGCACAAACACACTTGTCACACCTTCCTCACTTGCTAAAATGTAAGAAACATACAACGGTTAAGTATGGTGTAGAACATAGACACACAAAGGCGTGTACTGACCTCCCTTTCTGCTCTCAGGAGATCCGGGAACCCCTCCAGCCTCAGCGACATTGGCAACCGAAGATCCCCTCCTCCGTCTCTAGGTAGCCTCCCCTACCCCACTTGTCTTGGGTGGGTGGGTCACTGGGACACAGGGGCAGGGAGACTGTCCCCAGGTGAACTGTGAGGGAATGGTCGGCGGAAGGGGAAAGGTCAGAAGAGCGGGGAGAAGCCCAGTGTCTCCCCCAGGGAAGGGAATACATGCCCACAAGGCCTTTTCCCCCTTCACCAACTTTAATCTTTTATTTCCTTTTCTAAAAGCCAAGCAGAAGCAAAAGCAGGTGAGTCAAGGAAGGGACCTGGGCTTGGGGGCTCATGGCTCATGGCTGTGGGAACAGACTTTCGGGCAGTCACTGTGGAGGGGCAGCAGCACGGGGGAGGGGGGCCAGAACTTCTGAACCTGCCCCACATTCGCCGCACATCAGGCAAGCCACAGGGCCATGGCTTCACCTGACCTCAGGTCAATTCTGCAGGCAGAACATGTTCCCCCGTACGATGTGGTGCCCTCCATGAGGCCTGTGGTGCTGGTGGGGCCCTCTCTGAAAGGTTATGAGGTGAGAGGAAGTTTTTGACCTCAAAGAGTCACATCTACCAAGCCTGCCATGGGAAGGCCCCCGGGACGGTGGGAGGGGCTGTTCTCCCCCACACTACCCCATGTGTGGAGGGGGTGGGCTCCAGGGCTGTACCTGGGGATGCTGCCCCTCTCCAGGAGGGCCCTCAGTCAGTTCCATTCCTTCCCGCCCACCCAGGTCACAGACATGATGCAGAAGGCTCTCTTCGACTTCCTCAAACATCGGTTTGATGGCAGGTAAGCTGCACTGGCACAGGGTGGCGTGAGGACCAGGGAGAACATCATTGTCTCCTACCAAATGTCTGTAGCAAGGTCTTTTCTAAGGGGACAGTTAGGAGTTAGAAAGTCCTGGGTCAAGAGCTTGAAATTTAGAAGTGAGCTGTGATTCTGCATCGCTACCCCAGGATCTCCATCACCCGCGTCACAGCGGACCTCTCACTGGCCAAGCGGTCTGTGCTCAACAACCCTGGCAAGAGGACCATCATCGAGCGCTCCTCCGCCCGCTCCAGCATTGGTGAGAAGCCCCCAGCTCCTGCTTCTCTGCTCACTCGGGCCTTCCTGAGCACCTCCGTCCTACCTTCCTCTTCCCCAACGCCTGCTCTGCCTGCACCAGGATTGGCAGGAACTCACCCCGTCTCCTCAGTCCCCTGTTCTTCTGCCTGCCCAGGCCTTGATGAACGTCCTCTCTTTTTATTGCCTTCCCTTCCACCATTGGGGAGACCCCCAAACCCCATTGGAGGAAGAAATGGGTGGAGCCACTGGTGAGCACTGTGGCCCGCTTGCTCCCTCCCTAGCTGAAGTACAGAGTGAGATCGAGCGCATATTCGAGCTGGCCAAGTCTCTGCAGCTGGTAGTGTTGGATGCTGACACCATCAACCACCCAGCACAGCTGGCCAAGACCTCACTGGCCCCCATCATCGTGTTCGTCAAAGTATCCTCACCAAAGGTAGGCGGATGAGGTCCCTGCGGCTGCCCTCCTAGAATGTGCCACCACTCAGCTTGGTCCCTGCCCCAGAGCTCCTAAGTTCCCTTTTCCTGGTGCCAGATCACACATGAGGGATGTGCCCAGTTCTTGTTAAGTTCAGCTCTGCCCGAGTCCCCAAGACTCCAGGCCTCGTCCCGCCCTTCCCCCTCAGGTACTCCAGCGACTCATCCGCTCCCGTGGAAAGTCACAGATGAAGCACCTGACTGTGCAGATGATGGCTTACGATAAGCTGGTTCAATGCCCGCCGGTGAGTGCCTGGGGCGGGTACTCCTATGCCCACTCTTGCTTTCCCAGAGCTGGGGCAGTGACGGCGTGGGCTACTGCTGCTTAGAAGAAGCCAACATTCCCCCGTTCCCTCCCTGCCCAGGAGTCATTTGATGTGATTCTGGATGAGAACCAGCTAGAGGATGCCTGTGAGCACCTGGCTGAGTACCTGGAGGTTTACTGGCGGGCCACACACCACCCGGCCCCCAGCCCTGGGCGTCTGGGCCCTCCCAGCGCCATCCCTGGACTTCAGGTAATCATTTCCACTGGCCACTGTTGCCTAGGCTAAGCCAGCTTAACCCTAACCCTGCCCAAAGGCTGTACTTGGCCTCCAGTTTGAAGGCCAGAGGGTCAGAGAACACAGCTCTGCTTCACAGAGCTAGGGCAGATGGGCTAAGGAACTTCCTGACAAGAGAGGAGATAAATCGTTACAATGGGTTATCAGAGGTTACTTTTCTAGGGCTGAAAACAAACACTCGTCAAACCTTTCTCTGGTCTGTCTTGAAGGCAGAGCCTGAATTTTGCAGGCATTGAAAGCTACAGTTTTCTTTATCTTAAGAGGAAGAATATGCCAGTAGACTTCCCTTCCTTGCACTATTTCCTCTACCCAGGAACTGAGGGTTGAGGGGGAAGAATCCCCCATTCTAGAAGAGGCAGGAGGGACACCGAGGCGAGGTCCGTACTGCCTCACTTAGAGCTGTTGTGTTAACCCAGAACCAGCAGCTGCTGGGGGAGCGCGGTGAGGAACACTCCCCCCTGGAGCGGGACAGCTTGATGCCCTCCGATGAGGCCAGCGAGAGCTCCCGCCAAGCCTGGACAGGATCTTCGCAGCGCAGCTCCCACCACCTGGAGGAGGACTATGCAGACGCCTACCAGGACCTGTACCAGCCTCACCGCCAACACACCTCTGGGCTGCCTAGTGCTAATGGGCACGACCCCCAAGACCGACTCCTCGCCCAGGACTCGGAGCACAACCACAATGACAGGAACTGGCAGCGCAACCGGCCCTGGGCCAAGGATAGCTACTGACCACCTCCTGCTGCCCTACCCTGGCAGGCACAGGCACAGCTGGCTGGGGCACCCACTTCAGGCAGGCTGGCATTAGACTGGCATTGGGCTGGCACTAGGCTCAGCCCCCATAGCCCCCTGCATAGCCCCAGAGCTGCCTGTGGTCCCAAGGTTCTGGGAAAAGCAGGGGCCCCCTTACCTCCGGGCAGTGACTCCCCTAGGCTCCCATTCCAGGTACTAGCTGTGTGCTGCTCCCCTGGCACCTTCCTCTCCTGCACAAGAAGCTGCCCCACTGGGCAGTGCCCTCAGGCCAGGATCCCCTTAGCAGGGACCTTCCCACCAGACTCAGGGAAGGGATGCCCCCTCAAAGTGAGAAGAGGCTGCAGTGTGGGCAACAGGGCATGCGGAAGAAACAAGGCCCCCTGAGGCAGACACAAAGGCAAGGGACTCAGGGGTTATGCTTTGGGGTCCGAGGGCCTCCACTCACCTCACTGCCACATACCAGAGGAAAGACAATCAAAACCCAGCTGTGTGGCACTCCTATCCTTCAGCTGGGCAGGGCACCCGCATGCAAGGCTGGGGCCAAAGGCCTGGAAGCTGAAGCTCTAGAAAAGAAGGGCTCTCCTCACCCTGCCAGGAATTTTCCTAACATCTCAAAGGACCAGGAGCATGGTCAAGCCAAATGCTGGACGGGAGCCCACCTAAGTTGAGGGTTTGGGGAGGGCATGTGTAGCAGAGACTGAATGGAACAGCTTTGGGGCCTCTTTGCCCCGCTCATCCTTTTGCTCTTGCATCTTGTCATTTCTTGACCCTCATGCCTGCTGGGGCACATGGGCCCGATTTACTCCCTCATTCATTGCTGCTTGTTACGTTAGGGTCAGATGGGGAGAGACAGGGCACAACAGACGGCCCTCAGAAGCCCTGTCTACCCAGCTACCCTTGCCTTACGGCTCTAGTGTGTGACCTACAGAGCATGCTCCACAGACCCTGCCCCACCTCACTGTCATCACTAATAAACACCATGCACAGTCCCTCAGGCTCCTGTTCTGTCTGCTGGCTCAGGTGGCTGGTTCCTTACCGTGTGGCCCAAGTCCGGAGGAGGCCAAGAAGTCTTCTGGCCTCCTTTCTCTCACGAAGGACCCACTGAGTGGAAAGGGACACAGGAGAGCTGGGGAAGAAACCATTCCCCCGGGCACCCCCAGGGGCCCCCACACACCCAGGTGCCCGGAGGGCAACATTCAGCTGCGCAGAAAAGATGCATTCTGAGAGGTGGGAAAGGTTTAATCGCAGCTTTCCCTGCCTCAGGCCCTAGTAGTTGCAACTTGAACTCCACAACAAATTGCTACTTGCCCAACAAATTGCAGGGTAAGGAAGAATTAAGAGCAGTGTTCTGGAGTGGGGGGAATGACAACAGGCCCGACAGCCTTCTCCCCACACCTACCTCAGCCAGGCCCAGCTCCCACTGCTTGATGCAACTCATGCCCCATCTTTGCCCCACCCCCCGCCCCACACTGGGGAGCCAGGAGCAAAGGGACTGGAGACTGGGCACCAGGCACAGTGCACCAGGGCACGAGTGGTCCCAGTGGTGCCTCGCCTGCCAGTTTCACAACTGCTTTCCTTCCTCACCCATGCAAAGCTCCCCAGAGGTTGTGCAGGCCAGAGCAACAGTCACGTGAGGCTGGAGAAGGGGAAGAAAGAAGCGTTAGGGTGCCACTCTCCACGGTTCTCCTGCCTCTCGCCAAGGGCTTCCTGTAGACTCAGACCACCAGCTGAGACCCTAGGCTCTGTCTGGATGGGTTGGTTTTTTTTTTTCATTCCTAAACCTGTTTTCTGTGGTTCCATGAGAGATGAATTTAGCTGTAACTAGACACAGCCTTAATATTCATGTATTTATTCTCAGAACATACAAACTCATCTTTTCAGAGAATAGAAAACAAGTTTCACTCAGCGACTTCAAGATGAGCACAGCCAGCTCACCCTGTCCCACACCTACTAAAAAATTCTGGGCGAGGGATGCCTGGAGCGCACAGCACCCCTCGGCACGGGGGTGCACAGCTCTATAAACAAGGCTCTCATTTTGTCTTATAATCCCAAAAGGCAAATGCTATCAAAATGACAGTAAGGGTCCAAGGTCCACGACCCTCACAGTGCCAGAGCCCCTGCCTGAGTCCCCCAGGGGAGGGCGCAGCTGCAGCTCACGAGGTCGAGTCTGTGCTGCAGCGGTGCCCGCCTGGTGGCAGGTTTCTCTTCAGATGAGGGGCAATGCCAGTTGGCTACCCCACAACTGGCAAGAGCCAATGACCCAATGCAATCCCGGTGCCCTCCAGAGGCGCAGAGCTGGGCCAAAATCCACGGCCACTTGTTCTCCCCGCCTCCTGCAGGGCTTCCCTCCTCTTGCAGCCCCACACTCATGCCTTCAAACCGGAGGGTCCAGCCAAGGAGTCTGTTTCCTAAGCCCCCATAAGGGTGAGGACCTGGAAAGACGACTGTGAGGGTCCTGAAGAACAGACTTTGGAGTCTGCCCTTAAACCCATGGAAAGAGTCCTGTGTCAGGCAAAGATGGTCTCTTCCCGGCGCTTCTTGGTAAGAATAGTGCCTGGCTTGTGCTGGGCGTCTGGGTGGTTGGCTAGCTCTGGGGGGCAGGAGGACACTGGGCTCTCGAGAATGGCTTGCTTCAGTTCGTAGAACACAGCAGAATCCTCTTTGGTGAGGAAGGTGATGGCCACACCACTCTTGCCAGCTCGTCCCGTGCGGCCAATGCGGTGGATGTAATCTGGGCAAAAGGTGGGGGAGCGATGTCACTCAGGGCACCCGGCCAGATGGCCTGGTGAGCGGTGTCTGAAGCCTCTACTTTGAAGATGCCCTCCTTCCCACCCCTCCACGGGCAGCAGGTAGGTAGAACCCCGCTGCCTGAGCCTGCAGTGCCCACAGTGCTCTCCCCACGACCACTACTAACAGCGTCCCCCAACCACACAGAGAGGGATGATTCTTCCCACTTCCATTCTTTCCCACACTCTGGAGACAGAGAGCTACCCCAGGTACAGGACGACACTCCCTATGAGGCAGAGTGGGAGCTCTTCTCACTGGGACAAGCGATCCTAGACTCAGAGCTGTGAGCAGTGGCCGCGGTGGTCTCCTCGGCACAGCACTCCAACTTCACGTGGAGAGAGACAAGGGGTCTCCCCTCACCGAGACTGCAGCTGCTTTCCTCCCACTTACCTTCAATGTTTTTGGCCATATCATAGTTGACCACCATAGACACATCTTGGATGTCGATACCACGGCCCGCCACATCTGTAGCCACCAAGATGTCCTTGGCCCCAGCCTTGAGGTTGGACAGTGCGAACTCTCGCTGCTCCTGGCCTTTTCCACCATGCAGCGTACAAGCATTGTACTGTTGGGAGAATGGTGGGACAGAGAAGGTGCAATGGGATCACGGAAAGACACAGAAGTTAAGAGGAAGCAGGGACAGAGAGAGCAGGTTTCAGAGAGTAACAAGGGAGAAGAGGAAGGAGGCAGGAGAAAGAATGGGTGCAGTGAAGGTAGGGGGAGAACAGGTGAGCGGAAGACAAAGTGGGGGAGACCAGATGTGGCATGGCAGAGAGAGCCAGGGCAAGGTCAAAGGTAAAATCAGGGGTGAGATGTGGAGCCAGACACATGAGAAGTAGTCAGAGAGGATGCGGGTGGAAAGCAGGGACCAAGAAGTTCAAGGAAGTTTAAGCACTGAGTAGAGAGGACCCTCAAACACCAGTCAGGAGTAAAGGATACTGACCCACATCTCCTGACCACAACATTCCCTCTCCCAAACATACATAAACACAACAAACTCCAACCAGTTCTATTCCTCATCCTCAGATCCTGCCAGGATGTGCGTCTCAAACCTCCCTTGGCCCCAGGCCACTCAGAGGAAGACCCAAGGGCAGAGCTCCAGCTGCCACTGCTGGGACAGATAGTCATAGCGACTGGTCCAGTCCTCCTCATCTCCACCAAACCTCCCTTCCCTCCAGTCCTGACCTGTTCAATACTGGAGAAGTTCAAAATCGAGTGAAAATTTAAAGCAGGGACCTAGGGGGCCCCTCTAATTTCAGAAAGCAGCACCAAAGAGAACAAACTCTGCCCTTCCCTGCCAGACACACCCCCATCTTCTCCAGGGATTTGGCCAAAACATCACAGCCCTTCTTCTGGTTGACAAAGATGATGATGGGTGGATCGAAGCCTTGCTCCAAGATTGCCAGCAGCTTTTTCCTGGGAAGAGGAGAGAAAGGAAACAGCAGCTCCTCAACAAGGCAGAACAACTGCCCTCCAGCAGCCACTCACCCTGAAAAAGCCCCCTCTCGGCTGCCTCCCTGGCTCAGCTGCCCCTGTACCTCTTCTCTGACTCCGACATGAGGAAGACCTTCTGCTCCACGCGCTCATGGGGCTTGCCCGCAGAGCCAATGTACACCACAGCAGGCCGCCGCAGGTAGCTCCGGGCCAGACGCTCCACAGCGGGGGGCATAGTGGCCGTGAACATGACCGTCTGTGAAAACAGGAGGCTCAGCCTCAGGCCCAGGAAGACACACTCAAGAACCCCACCACCACCACCACCATGGGGAGCACAGCCCAAGCTGAGACTCCGCAGCAGGCCACGGTGTAAACTCTCACAGCCACCACCTTCAGAATGTGTCCTTTGCCGTCCCACTTCTTTCCTCAGTACCTGTTCCTGACATCTTGTGACGACAGGAAGGGCTGGGAGCACTCATTAGTGTCTGTGGTAGGCAGCACCGTGACTGTCTGGGACCACTTTTCCAGAGCTAAGCTAAACGGTTATACTGTTAGGGATGTCAGAAGCCCGCACCTAGGCGGGCCCTGCCATTTGGGAAACACGTACTCTGGGACCACCTATGGCAAGAAGGGCCCTAAAGCAGGTTTGCTGACCTGCCCAACTCTTCCCAGCCCAGGGAAGCAGCCTTACTTGGCGGTACTTGTGTTTTCCTGACTCAAAGTTGGCCAACATCTTCTCGGGGTCCTCAGCCTCATCCGTGTCCGGCTTCTGGTTGCTAACAGGCATGTGCTCCAGGATCTTCTGGACATCTGGCTCAAAGCCCATATCAATCATTCTATCTGCTTCATCCAGAACCACATAGGTGCAGCGGCTCAGCACCAGGTAGCGATTCTCCAGCACATCAATCAGACGTCCTGGGGTAGCGATCACAATCTGAGGGTACAGTGGAATCATATGTAGCCTGAGTGGGCACCCCCTTCTTCTCCCTTCTGTGGACTATCCACCCACTTGGACACCAGAACCCCAATGCTAAGGACCTTGGATCCCAGCATCTAGCTACATTTGACAGTGAAGGGTCCTGAGAACTGACACAAAATCATGTGTTGCTATCTTGGATTTTTTTCAGGAATAAACAGGGTCTCTGAATATGATACAGGACTTAGAAGAGGAGGCAAATCAAAAGGAACTTTCTTAGACGGAAAACAGACTAAGGAATATTTGTGGAGGGGGCTATATAAAATGATTACACTAAAAAGCCTGCAGAACACCCCACTCCTATATCAGAGGTCTTATACAAAGCTCTCCCCCCGCATCCTGAAAAGGAGGCAACACACAAAGTCAACAATTCGGTCTGGCAGAGTGACCAAGAGCACAGGGTATGAATAGGATCTCAGTCCTGCCCATCGCCAGCTGTGTCTGACTCTGGACGAGCCATTAACCTGGGCCTCGGCTTCGTATGTAAAATGGAGTCCCCTGTCTACTCTCACATAACTGAGAATTACTGATGTGCACAGTACAATCCCTGGTATGAAAGTTCTCAACAATAATAGCTCATCTGCACAGACCAGCCCTCTTCTTCAGCTGACTGAGTGTCTGAGGCAGGACTAGAAACAGAGCCCCAGAACAGAACAGCCTGAATGGCGGGCTGGCTGCCGGCCAGGTGCACAAACCTCACAACCCATGCGCAGCCTGAAACCCTGGTCCTCTCTGGAGATGCCGCCAATGACAGCCACAGTGCGGATGCCTAGTGGCTTCCCAAACTTGATG